AATGCTAAATATTATCTTCCAGAGCTTCAGAGAGAAATGGCTGAAGGAGGAAAACTACAACTTAAGTCTGGAAATCTTGTACCAGAAAGTAAGAAATGCTCAGACAACAATGGGGACATGTCAAAAAGACATAGAGCCAATTTGAAGAGGCTTCTAGTGGCCAAATATAGGACAGTTTGAACATCAGAACAGATAATGTGTCTTGAATTAAAACCAATTAATTATAAAATATCCAAATCCATACTAACATTACTAACATTACTAAACTTAATATTAATTAATTTTATATTAATTATAAAATATCCAAATCCATACTAACATTACTAACATTACTAAACTTAAACATATATATATGTTGGGGAGTTCTTCTTTATAGTAGAATGTTAATTAATAAGCATGGAAGGAATGATGGAAATAAAAATTAACATCTGCCACCATCACAAGTGGTTGATAAAGCCAAATGTCATTAATGGAGACTGAATCTAGTAAGCAAAGGGTTAGCAATACAGAGAAGTATAATCTTAGGAGTTCTCCTCACAGAAGTATTAACATGAGTTGGGTGAGGTGGAACATGCCTGTAATCCCAGCACTTGGATACTCCTCATGGAGGATTGCAAGTTTGAGGCCAACCTGGCTACATAATGAGACCCTGTCTCAAAACAACACCAACAAAAAAGGTAAAACAACAAAAATTATTAATTAATTACAAAAGGAAAAAGATAAGTTTGTGGCAGTCTTGGTAACTTTATGACATGTGAGCAAGATTAATAGCATCAGTGATGTGACAGGTGGGCACTGTGTGTTCTCTGATGTGATTCAAAGTACTGAGATGAGCATGTCTTTTTCATGGCTTTCTGCCAACCACACACCAAGTATGATCAAAGACTGGACAGATGCAGGTTGACGTTCATCCTATAGATGGCAAGCCTTGAAATCTTCAAAACTGTTGAGCTCATGAAAGAAGGAAAGATGGAAAACCTGTCACAGACTGTTAGAGACTAAAAGGGATGTGACCTCTAAATGACTGGGGATCACACACCAGGTAGGAAAAACAGACATTGTTGGTACTTTTTGGCAAAATTATTTCAACTTGAATTACTTGAAAAAGGAAAAAAAAAAAAAGCAACTAAAGACCTATAGGTCTGATAATCTTATAGAGAAGTTCACTGCAATTAAGACTGGGAAAGAATGACCAGAAGACACGCATTTTGTTACAGATGAGCCCATTTTTGGATCATCTCAGAGCTCCTACGTATGCTGTTAATTTATCCTTTATTTTGTTGTTTTGCAACTATTCCACCTGTCACCCCCATGAGACTATGCTGGAGGAGAGGAATCTTCCTTATTCATCAAGGTCCCAGATTTTCCTCATCACGGCTATCCTCACTTCCCTCCCAATACTCCTACTTACTTAATGATTAATAAAGGAATCACAGTCTGTCTGCCCCAAGGTCTGCTGGTATATTTGATATTTTCAACGTCATTAACTAACTCCTATTCTAACTTTCAGGTAGTCATGTAACTCCTGTATTCTAGGATTCATGGCCTATCCACTCGCCAGGGTGGGGAGATGCAGCTTAGTAGTAAGGTAGAACACACCTTATGCATGAGATCCTGATCACCAGTACCACCAAAAAAATTAAGTAAATAAAAGAAAGAAAGAAGGAAAAGAAATACATAACGCATCCACTTTCCCTCTTTGACCCCAGACCTTGCTATCCCCAGCATCTGCTGAAAAAACTCTAATAGTCCTCCGTGCTCTCACTATAAAACAAAGAGCCTGGCTAGATCGGAGTAATCCTGGTTTCTCCAATGCTGAGGTACTACAATGTAGGTATTATTATGATGATGACCACATTGCAGACAATAAACTCAAGTTTTCCCAAAGTTCAAGGATGTAAAACTCATGACTGGAAAATCCAGGGCTCAAATCTGGAGTCTGTGGTGCTCTTATCTATATTAGGTTGCAAACTTTATAGGACCTATATTGGACATTTTTAGTTTAAATGTTCTGTGATTCACTGGAAAAGTATTACACTCATAAATTATAATTTATAAATTATAATGCCGGGCTATTAGACTAATGTTTCTTAAATAAATAATTTGTTTCTCAAAGTGTTTTATACACAAATGTTCTCATTTTAGACTGAAATTAATCAAAACAAGAAATATAAAAGGGCCATCACAACTGAACAAAAAGTAAAATGTACTCACAAGTTCTCCTCGACGTGCAGTTGAAATTGGACGAAAATTCCCTGTACTGCTGAAACACAATCCCCCTGTCTTCATAAATAAATAAGAGAGGAGAAAAAACCCCAGCTATTTATGGAAAGGTACAAACAACTGAATTAAAAATATATACTTTATGAACTTGATTATCCTTACTAGAATGTTAGGTTCTGAACATTACAGGACCTGCTGATATTGATGAATGTTGGTTCACATCGGACACACCTGTTCAATATAACAAAAATAATTTTGAAAGGGGGCATGGTTCAAGTAGTAGTGTATTTGCCCAGAAAGCACAAGGCCTTGAGTTCAATCTCCAGAAGTGTAAAAATCATTTATAAAATATTAATGAATTATACTAAACCTAATTTGAGAACTTGTCTTCCTAAATGACAGATTAGAATAGATTCATTCAGCTAAATAATTACTTAAATAAATTTAAAATAGTAACACTAATTTAAATAGTTTTATATCACCCTGTGTTACAAGGCAAAGTATAAACATAAAAGTAACCAATATTAGAAGACTATTTTCTTAAATATATACATGGGAATGCATAAAATGAATACAGAATAGCAAAGATGACAATATCACTCAACTAACAAAAGAGCCCAATAAACTTACGTAAGTTAAACTAAGTCAATTTTTACAACTAGTTATGGCAAATACACTCCATATTTTAGCTGTGATAAAGCAAAAGATAGCATGAGCTGGAAAGATAGTGTATCTATTCCTCAACAAACTAACCATTATTTTTAAATAAAGTCTATTCTTCGTTTCTGTTTATTTTAAGAAAGTACTTGGCATTTTCTATTAATGAATGAGATGGAGGGAGGGAAGACAGTGGGCTAGTAGGGACTCTGACAGGCTTATATGAACATTCATTACCGTAAAACAGAGCAGGTAGGAAGCAGGGTTGGGTCATGGCATAAAAGTCATAGTAGGCTTAGGCAAATGTTCAAGGGGCAAGCTTGGGGATCAGCCCCGTAGTCAATTTTGGATGCTGCAACTCAGGTTAGTCTAATGATACTAAATATCACCAAGAGAAGCTTTTCAACTATTTGCTGTACTAAACTAGGGAGCTGAAGAGAAAGACTGCTTAGAGACAAGTCATCATGGACACCTCTAAAAAACACCTGAGAAAGCCAAAATAGGTATAATGTGTTTTAGAGGGAGGTGTGTACAGAGGATGGTGTGTGTCTGTGTGTGTATGTGTATGTACGCAGAAAGTAGGACGAGGAAGCAGTAGAGAGCAGGACTATAAAGCAGAGTACAGAGGTGTTATGACATTTATTAACATGTTTTTCTATGGAACATTATAATATATAAAAACTTTAGCACCATACTTGGCACACAGTTTATATTATGTACAACTTACATCATAACAAAAATAGCTACATTTTGCTAAATGGTTACTATGTAACACTATGTTAAGAACTTCACACATTTATTTTTGAGTCTGTATAGCCTATGACTTCTATGAAGTGGGTGGTATGTTCCCATTCTAAAGACAAGGGACTGTGACTCACTCAGCTACCTGATGTCCAATAACTGCACAGTGAACCAAGATCTGAACCTTGCTGTCTTGTGCTGGGCCTTAGCTTCCTCATCTGTTAACGTTTACTTCTATCCCTTCTTGGGTTGTGAGGAGCAACCAATAAGATAAGATAGGAAAATACTTTTTATAAAAGTACAGATTATATATAAATATAAGATGATATTAAAGTCAGCTTCTAGCATACTACTTACCTGTTTCCTAAAGTATCTGATTTCGTAAAAGAGTTCCCACTTTCATTACAAAGATTACAAGTTGCTTGAGATAACAATGTTCCATTAACATTTCTTTCCACTAAAACAATTTAGAAGCAAAATTAAGACATAACTCATAGTGAACATAAGTTCTATATATTCAGAAAATATTTTAAAAACTCACTTATAATTATTATAATTATACTCAAAACACATTATTCCCATAAAGCTTGTCAAGCATCTCTATAACAAAAGTAGGGAAAGATGAAACCTTCCCCATTCCCATGAGAAAATATGAAATTAATTTTCCAAGTCATCATAATAATTAATCATTTTTCCTCAAAAACTTTCTTATTTCCTTTTATACTGGGATGGGGAAAGAAGTATTTTTATAGACGGCTGCTAGGTTTCTGTAAGTTGGAGGGCTTCTGATAACATCTATTAAAGTTTTAAATTCACATATCCTACACAGCACTCCAATTTCCTTTTTTAAAATATAATCTACAGAAATATTTGTACATGTTTATAAGGATATTCACTGAAGCATTATTTGTGAGAAAACCATCTATCTAAAATTGCGGAATGATGATGCATCCATGTTGTGAAATACTGTAGGACAGATTAAAAAGGATGGTGTGCCCACGCATGGTGGTGCATGTCTATATTCCTGGAACTCGGGAAGCTATAGCAAGAGGATTAAGTTTGAGCTTCAAAGCCATTCCAGGCTGGACAGTGAGACCCTGTTTCAAAGATTTCAAGAAAAATTTTTTTCAAAAAGAATAAAGTAAGTCTAACAGGTCATGCTGCTCACTGAAAAAAGTTGTTACAGAACAATATTTGGGGTTGGGGACATGGTTGAAGTGGTAGAGCCTAGCAAGTGCAAGGTCCTTACTTCAAACCCTCTACATCAAGGAAACCAAGAACAATATTTGGAGTATGAAGTACTTATATAAAAATAGTACTTTTATTTTCTGTGGCTACGATGTATGCCTTTATAATAAAATGGGGGAAAAATTCTGTAACAGCATATACTCTTTCAAAATGAAAACAATTACATTAGGGATAAAGAAGCAACAGACTCAGAATTAGGAAAAATGTTCAAGGAGGACTTCGGACATGTCCATAATGGTTTAAGTCTCTGAATAATGCTAAAAAATAATTTTAACAGAAGTAAAGATGAAAACTTGTTCCTGCTAGTTCTTCCCCACCTCAGTAAATGGCAACTTCATTTGACTGTTTACTCAACAATCCTGAGATTTTCCTCTTCTCATGCTTTACATTAAAAGTGAAAATTCATAATAATGGAAGACAGGACTGTAAAACAGGTAGTTTGTGGGGACAGTTGTGGGGGGAGGGAGGGTGAAAGGAGGAGGTGAAGGTGAGGGAATAGGGTTGATGGGCTGCATTTACAAATAGGAAATAGAATAATGAAACCTCTTGTAATTGCTTTAAGTGGGACAAGAAGGGGTTGCTGGGGGTGGGGGGAGATGGAGGGGTGATCTAACCAATGTACAACGTAAGGCTATTCAGAACTGTCACAACAAATCCCCTGTATACAATGAATATATGCTAATAAAAATGGAGGGGAAAAAAAGTGAAAATTCAAATAAATACATAAGCCTGAAATTCTGCTAGTTCTTCAAAATTTATTCCACCTGGGTTTTTTTTGTTTTTGTTTTTGTTTTTGTACTGGCTTCCTAACTGGAGTGCTGGCTCTATGCTCCATGGAGAAGCCAGTGTGAGGCTCTCACAATATAACTGTGATCATGTCACTTCACTACATAAATCCTTCCAGTTGCCTTCCATCTCACACAGGGAAATTCCCAAGGACACGGCCATGATCTGCCACCACTTGCACCCACTTTCCTCCTTCCTGCTTCAGTCTCATCTGTGTAACAGCTGTTCCTTGGACAAGTCAAATACATCCCCATGTGAGGACATGACCACTTGTTATTCCTTCTGCTTAGCATGATGGTCCTAGTCATCCTCACAGCTCTCTCCTCCTCTTCCTTCAAAGCTCTGCTCAGATGTTACCTTCCAGAGAGTTCTTCACAGTTCATTCATGTCAAGTAACACCCTGCTCTCTCCCCTTGCTCTGGACCATGGAGAATTTCAAGCACATAACAGTAGTCTTGACAATAGCAATACTATGTTTTCATAGCTACCATCTATTCTCAAGGTACCATGAGGTATCACAGAAAGCAGAAAAACAATTAAAATGGTGCTTCTCTGCTTCTGACCCACAGACTTTCAAGAGCATATGACAGATAAGGAATAAGAAATTACAAGGTAAATGGTAACAGTCTAGATTTCAAAGCAGGTTTTATTCTTCCAGTGACTAGCCTGCTTTTGTATCTGGCTGACACCAAGTGCACTCATATGTACCTTCTATTGGAATAAACTTATGCTGTCTAATATTGTAGCTAGTAACCACTTGTGCTTGCTAAGTACTTAAAACGTGGCTAGTTAAAACTGAGATTTCACAGATAATTAAGAACAAAAGAATGAAACACCTCATTAATAATTGCCTATCTTAATTATATAATGAAATGATAATGTTTTGGATAACATTAGGTTAAAGGAAATATTAAAATCCATTGCAACTGCTCCTTTCTACCACTTTAATGTGTAGACAAAAGAATTAAAAATTGGGGGGCTGAAGGTGTGGCTCAATTGATAGAGTGCCTGCCTAACAAGTGCAAAGCCCTGAATTCAAACCCCAGTATGGCACTATTTTAAATAAACGCCAGCATACTTGCCCATCAGAGGTTTTTATTCCCAATTTATAATCAAATCTGATTTAAGTTCATTTTCCTCAAATCCTAAAATATATAATTGAAAGAGCACATTATGAAATGTAATAAATTTCAAATTGCTGTCCAGCTCAGGAAGTTTTCTTTAGCTCTATCCCAAAGAAAACACCACCATAAACTGTGGGGATTAAGTTTAATCTTTTCAGCAACAGTGCTAATAAAACTCCTAAAGATCAGTGGTACTGGGGCTTGAACTCAGAGCATCATGCTTGTCAGGCAAGTGCTATACCACTTGAGCCATGTCCCCCAGTCTGGTTTTTTTTTTTTTTGGTTTAGTTATTTTTTAGATAGGGTTTCATATTTTGTCCAGGAACTGGTCTCAGACCACCACCCTCCTACTTCAGGCTCCTGTATAGCTGGGGTTATAGGCACATATCACTGCACCAGGCTTGTTCTTTGAGAGAGGGTCTCACTAACTCTTTGCCAGGTCTTTGCCTCCCAAGGAGTTGGGATCAAAAGTATGGGTCACTGGGCCTGGCTTATGAATGTATTTTAAAACTGCTTAAATGTTTATTAAGCCAAGGCTCCTAAGTCAAAGCAGGTAAGGGCCTGGTTATCCACAAGCTTGAGGGCTAGGGTAAAATCCACCTTCTGCCTCTATTCTCTACCCACTCAGTCTTCCAAAACTCCTGACATCTGGCCTCTAGTCCTCGCAACTCACCGAAACTACAACTTTAGTACTAGAGATGCTTGACTGTTAAGTGACTTCAATAACTCAGTCTTCACTGACCACTCCACAGCATCTGAATCGATAAACTATCACCTCCTGCACCCCTGCTCCGAAACCCGAGAGATATTTTTGACTTTTCCCATGTCTGTTTTTTCTTTCTCTTAGGTCTATTATCATTCTTTTAATGTTTCTAGTATCTACTCCTTTATGTATAATTTTGTCCTAACTCTGGTTCAGATCCTTATGTTCATGTGCCTACAGGACCACAGCAGCCCTCAACAGCTCTCCTGGTCTTAAATGTAACCTCCACAAGGGCGGGATCTCTGGAGTGTTTTGTTCATGGCTTTATCCCTACACAATGCCGGCTCTAAAAGGAGTTCAATTAATACTTGTTGAATGAAGAAATGCAACAGATGGCCTCTAAATTCTCTTACCACTCCTCCGTTCAAACATTTCAGTGAAATGCCTTTACCTATAGAATATGTTACTGGTTAAAGCCATCCGTAATCTGGGCCAGTATGCTTTTAAATTCAGCAAACTGCTATTGTCATAATCCTTTCACAGTGACATCGATACTCATATCTGTAGTAATACACTAGCTCATGCTCTTCTTTCTGCCTAGAATGTTTTACTCTTTATCACTACTTTTTGAAATACCATTAGTCCTTCAAGGTTCAGCTATTATACTGCTTCCTTATGGCAATCTTCCCAAACAACCTTTCTTGAAGTGTGGGCTCTTGCTTAAAGACCATTTATTGTTTTTTGTGCTCACTTGAAGCTTAAATATGTTCCCTTTGTGAAAATATCTTATCTTATACAAATTATTTTTTCATATGCATGTCTAGTTTTAAAACTAGATTTTAAATAACTTTACTACAGGGATTCCCATTCCATTAAAAACTTAATTTTTGAGTAGGTAATAAAGTATCAAAATAAAAGGCACAAAAGGATTTAAAATGAAAAATCAGTCTCTTTCCCATTCCTACCCTTAGCCACTTAGTTCTTCATTCTGGAGGCAACATGGTTACCGGTTTCTTATGAATCCTTCCAGAAATAGGCTATGCATATACAAGCACATATGCACACATAATCCATAATACATTGTTCTATATGTTGCTTTCTTATTCAATGTATCATGGATTGTAGAGATGTAGAGAGCTACCTCATTTTCCTATGGCTGCAGTTTAGATCATTATATGGATATACCATAGTTTATTTGACAAGTGTCCTCTGGTCAAATACATGGTTTCAGGAATAATGCTGCAACAAATAACTACACATACACTTCTTCAGATAGAATTAAGTGTATCTGAACAAGAAATTACTAGATAAGGGATTGCTGGACAAAGATGACCTGCTTCTTAAATTTTGATAAGTATTGTCAATTATATTCTCCAAAGAGGTTGCACCAATTTATAATTTTCCAATAACATATGAATGACTACTTCCCTACATCCTTACATCATTGAAGTTGGAACTGTTTAATAAAATCTGGTAAATTAAGAATAAAATCTCATTTTACCTTTAATTCATGTTTCCTCCAACAGTAATATTGAATATTATTTTCATGTGAAGATATTTTTCTCTAAACTTTATTCATGATTTTTGGCTATTTTTCAATTATGTTACTCTTCTTACTCTTATTAGTTTGTAGGGTCTTTTTAAGTATGTTGGAGAACTCAGACCTGTATCTGCTGGGCATATGGAATTTTCATTAGTTTGCAGATGGTTTTGGTATTTTGATTTGCACAAAATTTAAAATTTTTTATGTAGTCAAATTTAGCAATTTTTCCTCTATGGCTTCAGAGATTTTGTTATACTTAGAAAGGTGTATTGCACACAAAGACTATGCAAACTTCTCCTACATGTTCTTTAAGAATTTTCTAAGAGTCATATATTATACTCTAACGATATTTGACTCATTTGAAATTTAATTTTCTTTAGGAATAAGGTAAAAGCTCAGTTTAATATTTTCTCAGTTTCCCTAATACCATTTATTAATCAGTGTTATCCTCACTGATACAAAATGTGTTTTTTAAAATATCAAATTTCCATACGGACTGGGTCTATTTTGACTGTCTTAAGCTCCATCCATCAGAATGTGTCCCTATCTGTCAGCAATGCATGTTATTGTAGCTACAAAGTATGCATCGTATCTGGAGCACTTTCCTCTTTCCTTCAGAAATTTCTTGGCTTTTTATATATTGTTAGAATCTATTTGTGTATTCCCCCAAACGAATGAATCCTGGTAGAATTTATGAGCATCCCTTTAAATATATAGACTGGGAGAGAGATGGCAGTTTTATAATATTTAACTTTTTCATCCAAATATGAAGAATATATTATCATTTTTAAAGCCTGCTTCTGAGTCATTCAGTCGCATTCACGGATTTCTTCAATTAATTTATTTTGCACATTTTGTAAAATTTACACCTGAGTATTTTTTATTTGTTCCCACAGTAAATGAGATCTTTTCTTTCATCACATTTTCTAGTGGAATGTTGCTTTTCTATAGGAAGGCTACTACTTATAGGATATTAATTTTGTACCCAGGAAACATTACTGTTTATATGAATTTTTAGTGATTTGTTTGATACAATCAATTCCTTTTCCTTTCCAATGATTTTTTTTTCCAATGATTTTTTTTTTCTCTTAAGTACTTATGTGCAATACCTTACATCCTTTTCTAGGTCCTGACATTAACAAAAATGTTTATAATTTTTCCCTATTAAGCATGTTGGCTTTGGAGTTGAGATAGCCTATTATGTTAAGGAACTATCCATCTAATCCTACATTAATAAGATTTTTTTTTTAGCCAGGCAGAACTTTTTCTTTTTTTTTCTTCTGGTGGTACTGGAGTTTGAACTCAGGGCCTTGTACTTGTTAGGAAAGTGCTCTACCACTTGGGCCAATCTTCAGCTCTTTTTGCTTTAGGTTATTTTTCAGAAAGGGTCTCACTTTTTGCAGGGGTCAGGGCTAGACCAGGATCCTCCAACCTACGCCTCCTATGTAGTGGGGATTACAGATATACATGTACCATCATTCCTGGCTTTTGGTTGAGATGGGGTCTCTCTGTTTGCCATGGCTGGCCTCAAACTGTGATCTCAATCTTCACCTCCCAAGTATCTGGGATTATAGGTGTGAGCCTCCACACCTGGCCTGGACTTTTCTTCCCAATGCCTACTGATGTCATAAGCATGACTAAATTTTATATAAAAATGAACTTTAAAAAATACTATTAAGTAATCACCAAGTCATTTAAATTAATATCCTTTACAAAAAAACCAAGCACAAATAAAATTCATCACCATTATTTTATAAAGAAGTAATTTTTACCTAAAATATGGCCAATGGGACAGTGGCACCTTCCTTCTGCAGTTAAGCCACTAGGGCAAGAAATACAGTTCCAGCCATCTTCAGTGACTCCTTTCTAAATTAAAATTTTTCCTCATTCATTAACGTTACTCTTAATTAATCATGTAAATTCAAAATAAATTTTATCATTTACAGATATAAAATACAACAAAAATCAACAGGACCTAACCAACAGACAGCAGTTCTACATAATTATTGCTCTAAAAATAATTATTATAATTTTTAAAATTTCAAATACATTAGCTTTAAAAATTAAGTTATGATTCAAAATATAAATTATACTTAAAGTTGCAAAAATTGATTTATGAGAATATTTCCTTTTAGCTATAAATAAATTGTACTAGTAAAGAGTTTTGGTAAAGTTTGACATGATTCAAAATTGGACTCATTACAGTATGTGGTTTAGGAAAATCTAAAGCTTTAATGTGGTAGTTTCAAATACAGATATAACTGAAATTAGTATAGAATAATGGTAAAAATAAAATAATGCCCCAAATCATTTTAAATTTTTATTGAGAAGAGCAGATTTTTATCAAGAAATATTTCTATAGTTGGCAATAAATTTAAATAGCATTATTTCAAATTTACAATAATATATAATATCACTGAAAAAGAAACCTGTTCTGGCACCATTTTTTTCAAATTAGTAGTTCTTTACCATCAGTAATTAGCTAGGACCAATTATTTCCAAAAATATAAAATAAATATCAAAATGGTAAGCAGACTTATACAGAATAAATAGCTTTAAATTAGGATAGCTGGTAACTTCTCATTAAACTCCCAGATTTAATTCATTTTAATATGACAATGAGAGAAAACATTACTATAAAAATCACAACTCATAATTAGACTCCAACTTATTTAAATGATTGGAAAGTATATTTATGCTAACTGAGAATTATCCTATATAACAACTACTAACTTACTAATTTTCTCCCAAATTATTACATAATGAGATGATTAACCAAACAGCAAGACATTATTTAACTATTTATTGATTTAACTAGCATTAAATGAACTTATTACACCTTAGATATCATTATGAACATTAATCATCTTATAAAACTGTTGACCCAGTAGTTCTAAGACACTGATTCAATCTGCTGAGAGGGTCTATACATCACCCATTGCGCTACAGATGTACATTCATCTATTTTTCTTTATAACTGAACCACTCTATAAAGAAAAATAAAAATACAAAATTTCAGAGCTTTGTGGTTTGGGGTTTTCAGATTAAAAGTGAAAGAAATGCATTTCTATTCTTTCCACATTTGCATAAATTTCACTGATCTTCCAAAATGTACTCTAGTACACATAAAGTTATCTTAATAATTTTGAAGTTTGTGGGGAAATATTAAACACTACATTGAAGTTTGACAAAGTTATTTAATTTATTACTTTTTCCAGGAAAGTTATTTTAAAACAAGTTCTTCATACCATGTTTTCTGGGCACTGTTTACAAATAATGGTAGATCCTCCATTATTAGAGATCATCTGAAATCCTGGTAGACACACACATGAAGTTCCTAAAAAGAGAAGAGCCAATTCTGTCCTTGGTTAATCAAAATAAAACCCCAAGATAGAGAACTTTTAATAATTCTTTAGATCTTGAGAAGCAGTATTATATAGTGGCCAACAGCAAAACTCTGGAGCCAGTAGTGACTGGGTTCCTTTTCAGAAACATACTTCTTGAGTTCCAATTTTAGTATTCCTACTTGGCTATATGACACTGGGCAAATTACTGAGCTTCTCTGTGCCTTGGCTTCTGGATTGGTAAAATGGAGAAAATACAGTACCTACCTCATAGTGTTAACACAAGCACCAAATTCTTAGAACTGTGTCTGGCACACAGCTGGGATTGCATTGCTAATAATTTAATTGCAAGCATAACTAAGCAATTAAACTGTTAAACTATTAAAACTATTCAACTGCTATAGGAAAATTTACATTTCCATGTCATTAAATCATATACATATATTCACTGAATTCAAATTTAATTTGCCAAAACCATACTAGGAAACTGACTTCATTCAAATAGATTGCAGTTTCCCTCTGTTTGGAAGGACAGTACACATTATAATTACTATTCAATTTGGTAAATATGTAAGAGGTGCATTCTCAAAACAGCGATTAAGAGGAAACAGCACCAGTAGTTGTCTGCGTTGCACAACACATTCACTATCTCAATTCATAATTATGAAATTAATACCTTACATTTTAGAGCTTGAAATGTTTTCTCAATCATACTTCTTGCTCATTGACTTAAATAAGGATACGTTAAATCTGAAGATGGCAGAAACTTAATTCCAAGAATGGCTAAATTGAGATTGAAAGTATTTTAGAATTCAATATATGGGCTAAGACTTACTCTGAGCAATGTCGGTGAGGACTAGGACCAAATGATACATATTTAAGGGGGAAAAAATAAGCTTAACCTAAAAAGACTGAGAACAATCAGTAGTATTTAACAATAAAGAGATAGGTCCTACGGAAATATCTAATATTAAAGGCAAAAGCTGTATAATGGAACTACATAAGTCAAGATTGAGGAAAAGGAGAGCTGAGGTCTCCCAGTTCTAATTTAGGTGACACCGAAGAGATGTCACATGCTCTCCCTGGCATCATTTTTTAAAAAATGTGTACAGTGAAGAGACTGGACTGACCATACTTAAGGTTACTTCCAGCTCTAAATTTCTGTAATTTAAAAAGCGAAATAAAAGGCTATCCCCGTTTACAAATGCTAAATCGCATTTCTTTCCTAATCTTTCCTGTCACCTGCTTGCTCTTCTTCACTTTTACACTTTTCTACTATTTCTCCCCTGCTGCCCTAAAGACCACCTTCACCCATGAGGGGTGTGGGGGGGTGGCTGATACGGAGAAATGAGTTCCTGGCGACTGCTGCCCCGGAAACGTGTCTCCTACAGACAACATGATCAGGTAGTGGGAGCTGCATCAAGGAGGGGGCGCTACTTTTGTCAGGGTGCCCCAAACGGTCTCACCGTGGGCATCCGGCTTCTGGTGGGCTCCGCACTGGACACAGGACAGCGACGAGATATCGAAGTACTGGTTGTGGCCGCACGTCTCCGGCTGCTGGAAAGGGAAGGAAAAGGTCTGGGCCTGTGAGATGCGACACAGGACCAACAGGAGGAACACCGTCCCTGCCCTGGCGGGGGAGACAGACGAAACCGCCATGACCGCCTCAGCCGCTCCGGGCGTCTCCATGGTACCGACACTGGCAACTGCGCAGTCTCCAGCTCCCCCATCAGCCTCTGGGGCGAATCCGCTGAACTGATTGGACAATCGGGATTCCGGAATTCTTTGCCTGCTGCTTGGTTGCTAGGTTACCAATCCCGCTGGAAGGCGGCAGGTCCAGGGAAGGTTGGGTTAAAGGCTGGAGGCTCTTTAAAACGTCTAGAATGCCATCCTTAAGTGTGGCGTGAAATCAATATAGGGAGTCAGGAAACATCAGATTATATCCGTAAATTAAAAGTAAGTCATGAAACTGTTACATCAGAATTTATCCAGCCTATATCATTTTCACGACAAAGGAGTCATGACGTGTATTTTGACAATTTTCAAAAAACTTCTGTGTGAACTGGGGATATAGCTCATGGTAGAGTACTTGCCTACCATGAGTCAGGCCCTGGGTTTGATCCCTGGGACAAAACAAACACTGCATTGATTTAAAATATGCAATTTTGGAATATTACGTTGGTTCAAGATGAGGGTGTGTGTGTATGTAAGGACATTTCCTGCTAGACCTTTGGTTTTCTACTTTCCTTATTTGAGCATAGAAACTCATGTATATAAATTTGATTTTTAAATCAATTTACAAATACATCGATGTTGTCCCAGACACCCTTAGATACTGTTAGCCCCCTAATATTTTGGAATTACATCCACTTTGTGGATATAATTATAGACACTTTGTGGGCTATAAAAGCAAAGCTTATTTCTTAATATTTAAATCTCACTTCGGTTTTGTTGTATTTTGTTTGTACAATCGTTGTATTTTGTTTCTTCTTTTCTTCCAAATAAAATCACCTGACATTTTTAAGCCTTATCAATAGTAACTTAAAATGGTTTTTTGATTTCTCAAGAAGTACAAATATCATAATAATGATAACATTTATATATCTTATATAATAAGATATATAATATATGTATGCACACACACGCACCCACACACACACACACGTGGGAAATGAATCTTAGGACGTTAAATAACTTTAAGCTACCATTAGGCCTTCCTTCAGCATTCACCAATAACTGCTATGTAAGATATAAGACCTGTATGTTCAGAAGACTCTTCTTCAAAGAGAAATTCTGAAAAATATTTTTGAGCTATTTCTGTATTGTTGTAGTAGGGATCACTTCTCTGGATACATTTTTAAAATAATATGTGATCATATGAATGTTAATGAAGATTAAGAAAGGGTATGGTTGGAATAGGTGGAATTAATCTGCAAACGCTTCCTATGGGTGAGTTTTAACTCTACTCTTCCTGGAAGTCCCTCGTGTTATATGCTAAATTGAAGGGACTTAGGGCAATGATATTTACTTATTGCCTCCCATTCATGATGGTTTTCTTGTAGTCAAATTTAGTTTTTCTTTTTCTTTTTTTTCCTTTTTGAAGTTCTGGGGTTTGAACCCAGGGCTTCATGCTTGCAAAGCAGACCCTTGAGCCACTCCACCAACTCCAGTGGTTTTCTTTGGATACCATTTTCTGCAGTGTGCTAGGCACTTGACGGCATTAGTCTTAACTCTTCATAACAACCTTTTGAGGAAGTACTATCCCTATTATATAAAAATGAAAATGAAATATCAAGAAGAAAGTAACATTTTAGAAGATATGAAACTAGAATTTATTTCCTCTGGCTAACTCTAAAATTTGCCATCTTTTCACTGTATTAAACGGCTACTCAATGGAATAGGTATAGGAAAATTTGTTGTATTCTACATACTTATCTTCATCAAGCAAAGTGATACTATCATTATAGAAGACATGCAGTAATATTGTAACCGTCCCAGACAATGTCACTGCTCCTAACAACTCCCTCCAAGAACACAGTAGTTTATCTGTAGTACAAGGACTTGAAATAGACAAACACAGTTAAGTTGAAGATAACTGTAGATACTGTAGATTCATCTGTGTAAACTTCCTACATGGATGGCAGAAAAGAATGTTAAAAATGTAAATCATAAATTTGAAACTGTATCATTAGAAATATTTTTGTTCCAAGTAACTGAAGACCAGTCAACTCATAATAGTTTAAACCTTAACAAACACCAGTCTGATCACAGGGAGGCTGCTGATTTTTGTTCAATGATGTCAGATGACAGTATCTGCAGTTCTATTGGTCTTCCCTTCTTAATGGCACTGTGACTCCATATGCCAGATATTAATATTCAGATTTAAGACAGGAAGAAGGAGAGAAGTTGAACTGGAAATATTTTCTCTGTTTCCTTAATTAGGAAGGCAAATTCTTTCTCTATACCACATATTGTGCTAAACTCCTTATATTAATCATTTCAACCTTGTTAACAACACTAAGACTAGGCAGTACAATTATTTTATTTCAGGATTAGAGACATGCCCCAAATTACCCAATTAAGATATGAAAGAGTTATTCTTGAAAGTGGAAGAGACTAGAGAAATATGATTTAATAACAGCTTAGAAAGAAGCATACTAAAGAAAGTGAGAGAATGGGTTGGAAGAGGACACCACATACTTATTGAATACCTAGTATGACACATAAGCACTGAATTGTGCTTTACCTACACTATCAAAATTAATCTATTCAATACATTATGTGTGGTATTATCATCTGCTTTTTACAGATGATTAAGTGGAAGAAAAAATTTGAGATTAAAAATGTACTAAATACTCAGCTTGCAATTTGTAGAAACAAACTTTGAATTCTGTTAGGTTAGCTGTAGGAGCTGCTGAACTATAATACTGTGTAAATGCTTATATTAATACTGTATAAATCCTTACAATATAAATGCTGCAATAAGTTCAAGGAGGCTGAAAATGGGAAAAAGGTCTTTGGATTTGACAATTGAGTGATCATTGGTTACCTTTTTGGAGTGCAGTTTCATGGCAGTGGTTGGGATAGAAGAAAACCATACAGCTGTAGTGACAAAGAACAGGTGCCAAATAAAAAAAGTACTTTGAGAAACTTGACATTGAAAGGAAGGCAAAAAGTGTGGACTGAGCAAAAGGGTTTAAAATTTTTCTTAAGGACACAGGCAATATATAAGTGGAGAGGAAATGATCAGTAGAGGAGAGATTCAAAACAAAGAAAAAACCAGGAAAATGTTTTTTTCTCTTAAACAGGAAGGATTAAGGGCTGATATAGAAGAATGGGAGGAGGACCTTCTCAAGGGAAGAATCAGAGTCCTAAAGAGGTGAGATAAATGGGCGGAGAGTAGAAAAGGTAAGATCAGTTTTCACAGTAAAGAACATAGGTAAAAGTAAGAAGTATTTTTAAAAGACATAGTGGGTAATTGTAAGGGAAATCACTTGGAGATGAAAAATGGCAATAAGGCTAGATTTTTCCTGCAAGACCTAAATCATATTGGAGTGGGAGCAGATAGAAGACGAGGTAGGGAAATCCTAGGGTGTAGGTGAACAATTTGGAGAAAAGATGAGAGTAGTTGATTACCTACTAAGATAGGGAGATGTAGCAGAAATAGATGTGGTGGTCTGTTTAGTGCTTGATGAGGAAGGAGGCTAGAACCAGAAACCTATGGGTATTCCAAAGGTTACTGTTTTCAATCTCTAAACTAAGTTAATAGAGGCATAATCAGCAGGGAAAAGAGCATACATGAGAGCTCAGAAAGTAGTTCATCTTTGGTGAGAAGTTCAGTCATTTTGATATTATTGATATTATTCAGACTTCTATAAGATAGACGTCAGAAATAAGGGTGCTTTCCTTCAGTGATCTGGAAGTATAATGAGAAACAGACATTGAAACAACTAAAATGTGTAGGGATAACTTCTCTGAGATTGGCAGAAATGGAAGATTAGTGAAAAGATCCCAGAGGAAAAGCGATGACAGGACGGGACAGGCAGAGGAACTTTCAGGAAAGATACAGAGGTATGAGAGGCCTGACACACTGGCGAGTGACATGCCCTTCAGTGTCCCCTGAAGTGTAGGTGATGTATGGCCAAAGAGTAAAAATGAGGGCTTTTGAATGCCTGTATTTGGCTTCGAGTTTAAGATTTTAGTTAAAGAACATGACCAGATTTATAAATTAGAGCAAAAGTATGTGGAAATTGTTTAGGCGATACGGGGCTTTGAAGACAGGGCTTTACATGTACAAGGCAGGAACTTTAATGCTTGAGCCACACCTCCAGCCCAGTATGGAAACTTCGAAATGAGCTCTGAGACCGAGTGAGGAAAAGTTGACTTGTGAATGTTGAAAAGCTACGAAAGGCATCTGAAAACTGTTACTAAAACGTTCAGGAGAGTCTGTGGTGTTGCAATTCTGTCAAAACATATGGGGAGGCTAACAGAATGGCATAGCTCAGTGTGATCACCATTTCAGAGTCTGTGTTGTGTTATTCCAGAAACTTCATTTTCTTTTCGTTCAAAAACATAACGATTAGGTTTTGATGCTTAACACACTGATGACACAAGAAAGTGTTCAATAATCAGAATACTACATGGTTATATCTAAATAACCTTGACCTGAAATTTTTTAGATTGTAATAGTATGATCATTTGAGAAAACCAGTAGGCCCACTAGAAAAGGCAGACATCTCTTTCCATAACTTCTGAAAGACTCGAATGTTTGTTCTGTGCACTTGATACTGTTACATCAGGCAGATTTCAGTTATACCAACCAGTGGACTTCTGTGTAAATCCCGCCCGCTCCAGGTGCTGGCTCTCCGGTTGGCTGAAAACTGGGCATGCGCAGAAGTCCCAGAAATCCCAGGCGTCGCCTCCCTTCCCTAACAACGGGAAGCGGCGAGCTGGAGGTGTGCGCATGCGCGACTCAGGCGCTTGAGTAGTGGGTTACGCCGGCAGAGCGCATGGGCAGACAGACGAAGTCCGTTTGTCCGGACGGGAGGGGAGAGTGGGCGCCATCTTCTTCTAGGCTGTCTGAGGGCTCTCCCTGTCCTTTGGAGGCTTCTGCGAAGACGAGAGCCCCGGCCCCGACCCCGGCCCCGTGTGCTACTCGGCAGCGGCGGTGTGTGTTTACTGCCAAGAGCGAAGCGGTTCCCGTTGGGGCGTCGGGCGGGGAGGGGCCGGCGGCCGGGCCGGAAGAGCGGGGGAAGGCGGGGCGGACGGCCGCCGGGAGGCAGCGAATTTGAGCGCCAGGGTACCCTCTGCCCTGCTGACGCGACCCTCCCTCCCGTCACCTCCATGCCGCGGTGTGTGCGCGCTTCTCCCTGGTCTTGACAGTGGAGCTCTCCAAGGATCTCATAGGTATTTTCTCCTTTGCTATGTCATCGTAGTTAGTGTGGCAGAAAAGCTCGGCAGGCCCAGCTCCTTGGGTTTGAGGGGCAGGAGCGTGTGAGTTAGATCTGGGATCCCCTCACCCGTGGCTACTGAGTGGAATGCTTGCCCTTGGGCCGCGTAACGGACAGGCACGGAGGTTGGGCGGTCCTGGTTAATTTGAAGCCTGATGGTGGCTGAAGGTCTGGCGACAGCATCGGATCCCACGTAGCAACTTGGCCTGGAGCAAAAGAAGGAAGCTCTGACCTCTGGCAGTGTGGACAAAGGCTTCGGGCTGTAGGATCGATGCCTTCGGATGACTCCCGTGTGACGATGGTGGATGCTGTTGGGAAATCCTGTGCCCTGTGGATTCGTCTTCATGTGCAGTTCCTCCTGGGAACCATGGCTCTCCGTACTCATGCCTCTAATTTTTATTTTAACCATCTACATCGAAAAGTCAGATCACCACAAGAATCCTTGTGGACTGGGGTACATTATTGTCTGCAGGGAAAGCTCACGTTAGAAAATAACTATGCTTCATCATGACTGGGTTTTAAGACATAGTCGCAGGCAAAAAGTCAAAGGATTTCCTCTCCCTCACCGTGTCTGGAATGTGACTGCTAGTTAACAGTCAAATGGATCTAAGATGCTGCTTCCTAAATTCAGGCTCCCTGTTTTCCTCTCAGTCTTGATTAGAAGACACACATTTCGTTTTGTTTAGTTAAAATGATGATTAAGTAGGATGAATCACTGGATAAAATCAGCAAAGTTGTTTAATATGAGCTTACCCTTAAATGAGCTAGCTTTTAGGGATCAACTTCCTTTTCATAGAAGTTTTGACAGATCACTGTGTCCTTAAATCAATACAGTCACAAAAATAATTTTGCATTCATCACTAGAAAAATTTTAAGGGCAGGGGTAATTGTGTGTTTTGCCTTTTGTGCAATCTAATGTAATAGAATTTTTGGAGATTTTGTTTAAGGAAAAGGGTATGTTGGAACTACAGGAGAAGTACTCATTTTGAGAGTTGGTCTCTCCAAGGTGGTATCTTAGATGTTACTGTAGAGGAGTAAATGATACATTACCCTACTATAGCAAGTTAGACAATTGTATTAGTTATAATGTAACTGGCCAATTAAAATGAACTGGAATTCGTGAGATTTGTGCTCATGAAACTTAATTAAAATACTTTAAGATACTTAGATTTTAAGTCAGGGAGGATTTATGTTCCTAGAGTTATTTATTTTTTTGGCGGTACTGGGGCTTGAACTCAGCCTTTGCTTGCTAGGAAGGTGCTTTACCACTTGAGCCACCAGCCCTTTTTGTGTCAAGTATTTTCGAGATAGGGTCTCAAGAACTATTTGCCTGGGCTGTTCTCAAGTCATGGTCCTCTTGATCTTTGCCTCCTGAATAAATAGGATGACAGGTGTGAGCCACTACTGTTTGAACACTAGAGCTTTTTGAGTTTAACATAATGAACTGTCTAGTTTTGCATATATGTAAATGGATGTATGTCCTCAGGATAAATCCCTTTTTAATGTTTAAAAAGAGTTTAGGACAGGCAAGATGATACATGTCTTAAACTGCTTTCTAATGTATTTTCAATTTTTTTAATGCCAGTTTACGTAGGAATCTTGAAATTTTAACGTTTCAAGTGTTCCATAGGCCTGTAGTTTTTGTTGACATGTTCTGTGTGAATATTCAGTGAAGAAAGTAGGCTTATATGTTTTTGTGTGTGTGCAGTTATTATATAGTAAATCACACTAATATTTTCTAGAGGTAGGATGTGCCAAGTAATTTCTTAATGTCTTTACTAGGTTATCTTATAAGCTTAAAAAGCTTAATCTGTAGATTTTTAAGGAAAACAAACCTTTTAGATCTTCAAGGAATATGTCTCCAGATCCCATTTTGGGGGGACAGGGTACTTAGTGACTAAAGCAACATTATTTGCACATTAAAAATATCTTAATTATGATTATTAATTTGACAAGTGTTAAAAATTTATTCGCTGAGACTTCATTAAATATTGTTAGTTTTGGTATCAATGAAAGGTTAGATGCAAATTTCATTAAAAAATTATTAGATTGAAATTTTTCAGCAGCTAATTTTGGTGGTTTCAACATTCCAAATTAATAAATTTTTATTTTCTACATTGTTATTTAGGTTTCCTCAGTAGAATGCAGGATAGTGTTTTTGGCAATACTGCGGGTTGAACTCAGGGCCTTGCGCTTGCTAGATAGGCAGTGTACCACTGGAGCAGGATAGTTTTTGAAGTGGAATAAGGTTATTTCAACATTTTCTCTTTGAGATGAATTGTAATAGTTACTGTTTTAGGCATATTAAATAAGGAGTGGTGTTCAGCTTTTGATTTAGGGATATTATATTTGCCTTAATTATATCGGAGCAGTGAAATTTGGTATTTTGTCATGCAGACATTGGTTTAGACTTATTTAAAAAGTGATTTTTGAATTTCAAGCTTTGGTATTTTATACCTTGAGTCATTTCTAATGGTGGTTTTGTTAATTTGACTTGGCTTTATGTTTTGTAAAGGTGGAGAATAGTGAGAGAGTTGGACATACATGAACTAGATGTTTGGCTTTTCACCAGGGGAAGTGATAGGTCTTTTTTAATATTTATGTTTTTAAATTGATATTTCCCTTGTAGAACAGTTTCCTTTTAAAGTAGATGTAAAAAACTTTTGTACATAAGAATTCATAGAACTTAAGGATAGAATTCAATGAGCTTTGATAAGTTCATACAGCTATGTAACCACCACTGGACTCAAAATATATAACAGTTCTCTCATTTTTTATGCTATTTCCTACCAAGTAGTATGATTGATTTTCACCACATTTTTATTTTTAAACACCGTGCAGATGTCTATTTGGGTTTTATACTTCCTTTTTGCCTACTCATAGTTTCCCCTTGGCACAAAGAAGACCATTCTGTAATGCCCATAATTGTGGTTCCCTATGTTGCTTCACTTTTGAAGTGGATATCCTAATCTGGCATTGAGATCAAATACAAGCTTCAGAGATTAATTATATTTCATTTTCTTTCCACAGTTAAGTTGCTTTTACAGAATTAACAGGTCTCCAAGAAATAAAAAGAAAAGGTAAGACAACATCCAGAGTTGAAGGCTTTTCACAGAAGCTTGACAAATCAGATAAAGTAAATTAGTACATCTTGGTACCCATGGCTTTTGTTCTTTATATCTGACCAGTGATACACTGGTGGTAGGCAACTAAATATAATGAGCAGAAATTATATACAGACCATAGATGGCTTTTCTAAATATGTAAAATTGTGATTGGTAAAATACTTTTATCTCTCAAATTTCATTAGGAGACAGACATGTTTCTAAATGAGTTTGAAAGTAGTGTGGTCTTGTTGTGAGATAGCATTTGGCAGACTTACAAAGGAAGATTTGATAGTTTTGATATTCCTATTATATAGGGTGGATGACATGAAATGTTTCAAGGTAGTTGGTTTATTTGTATGTTTAGATAGGAGAAAGTATATTCTTTATTTAAGAATTAGAAATGACCAATATTTTTATGAACTTGTATCTTGTCTTCATTTATGAATGCTGAAGGAGGCAGGAACCAGGTAATTATTAAGCTTTGTTTGGGCTAAGGTACTTCAAGAGTAAGACTTGCTATTATGTGTACCTTTTTGTCTGCAGGTCATTATTGCTGTGGTTTGAGCTCAGCATGGCTGTAGTCATCCGTTTACTGGGGCTTCCTTTTATTGCGGGGCCTGTGGATATTCGTCACTTCTTCAAGGGATTGACTATTCCTGATGGAGGAGTGCATATAATTGGAGGGGAAGTTGGGGAGGCTTTTATTATTTTTGCAACAGACGAAGATGCAAGACGTGCCATAAGTCGTTCAGGAGGGTTTATCAAGGATTCATCTGTAGAGCTCTTTCTTAGTAGCAAGGCAGAAATGCAGAAGACTATAGAAATGAAAAGAAGTGATCGTGTAGGAAGAGGGCGACCAGGATCTGGGGCATCAGGGGTTGGAAAACTATCTAATTTTATTGAGACTTTGAAAGAAGATAAAAGTAATTCCGGATATGGCTCTTCAATTAATCAAGATGCTGGGTTTCATACTAATGGTACAGGACATGATGATTTAAGGCCAAGAAAGACAAGGCCATCAAAGGCTGAGAATCCTTATTTGTTTCTACGAGGTTTGCCTTACTTAGTAAATGAAGATGACGTACGTGTCTTTTTCTCTGGTTTGTGTGTGGATGGAGTAATTTTCTTAAAACATCATGATGGTCGAAATAATGGCGATGCCATAGTAAAATTTGCTTCATGTGTTGATGCTTCAGGAGGTCTTAAATGCCATAGAAGTTTTATGGGTTCAAGATTTATAGAAGTAATGCAGGGCTCAGAGCACCAGTGGATTGAATTTGGTGGTAACACAATTAAGGGGGGTGATGCTTCTCTGAGATCTGAAGAACATTCTCCTCCAAGAGGAATTAATGATAGACATTTTCGAAAACTGTCTCATTCGAAATCTCCCAGAAGAACACGCTCTCGCTCCCCTCTTGGATTTTATGTTCACTTAAAAAATCTGTCCCTAAGTATTAACAAGAGAGATTTAAGAAATTTCTTTAGAGATACTGATCTGACTAATGATCAGATTAGGTTCTTATATAAAGATGAAAAAAGGACACGGTATGCTTTTGTGATGTTCAAGACTTTAAAAGACTATAATACTGCACTAGGTTTACATAAGACTGTTTTACAATATCGTCCAGTGCTTATTGATCCAGT